GTCTTCAAGGGAAGCAAAGTTCTATAAGAAACACAAGCTGCAATTACGACAAAACCACTAAAGTTTCCATCTAGTACTTCTGCCCAAAGGACAAACAAGTTGTGAGAATTTCACGTAGGCCTGTAACCAAGGATTTGCTAGAATAAACACCTAACATTTCAGTGCTGGCGTTTGCGAGGACTTGAGGAGCTTTGTTTTAAGTCACTTAATTCCTATTTTATAACAGTAGAACTCAAGAGAAAGTGAACTTTTAACCAGAAAGCTAATAAAAGCAACTGCCAGAATTCTGTTAAAAATAAATAAAAAGAATAAGATTGTGGAACTAGTAGAGTCTTCTAGGCAGATGGAGAACAATAGCATAACAATTTAATAAATTAAGGAAAAAGAGCAAAGCTATGTAAAGCTTCAAATACACTCCCCTCTTATATTAGAAAAGTCAAGAGCTAAGTCAAAATGCTTCCCTCTGTAATTGCCAAGAGCTCATTTAGTACCTTGTTATAAAGCCCCTTGCCTTCGGCGATGATGCTGAAGAACCATCACCATTTTCTCGGCAGCGCAGCAGAGGTTCTCCGTGGGGGGAGGGGTGCTCCCTGGGGACATGGGCCATGTCTGGAGACAGATCTGATTGTCACAGCCCCAGCGGAGGGTGCTACTGGCAGCCAGTGAGTGGAGAGCAGGATGCTGCTCAGCACCCCACGACACATAGGACAGCCCCACCACAGAGAGCCACGCGAGCCAATCCGGCAGTGCCGAGGCTCAGAAACCGGGCAGGAGAGTCGTTCGTCAAAAGACGACAACGGCAGCATGAATTATAATGTTTTTCAAAATTGAGTTTTTACACGATAGTAATCCTAACCGATATGTAGCAAGTCTTGTCAGCAATGAGCCAGTTAGGGTCACTTGAGGGCAAGTTATTGTTATGAACTGGCATGCTGCCATGTGTTTCATGATAATTTATTCCATTAAGGAGGTTAAAAGTGACCCTGTGATCATGTTGAGGCCTTACATTCATTATTTACTCAGTGCACTCAACAACTAAGCATCCGCTATAGAGTAGGTCTCAGAGGTACAGAGAATAAAAGTAAACTACAATAACAAGAAAAAAATAAGTCACAAATGAAACCCATAGTCTCTGGCCTCAAGTAGTCCACAGTCCAAGAGTGGAGGCAACTTAAAAGCCAGGAAAGATACAGACAAAGGTGAGGGACCAGCTCATACAGGGAGTGAGGGACAAGACGCAGTATTTCTTTACAGAATGGTACCCCCGTTGAGCCTTGTGGGAGAAGCAGGAGGTGAGTAAGATGGGGAATAGAGTTTGGATGGAAAGAGCTTCGGGGAAAAAGATGGTATCTATTGTATATTTCTCAGTAATCGCTATGACAGCACCAACAATAATAAAGATGGTATCTATATTTCTCAGGATTTGCTATGACAACACCAACAATAATAAAAATTAGAAGTAACATTTGTAGCCCTAGCTGGTTTGGCTCAGTGAACTGAGAGGTTCCAGGTTCCATTCCAGTCAAGGTCATATACCTTGGTTGCAGGCCCGATTCCAGCCCCTGGTTGGGGTGCATATGGGAGGCAACCAATCGATGTGTCTCTCTCATACCAATGTTTCTCTCTCTCTGCCTCTCCCCCTCCCTTCCACTCTCTCTAAAATTCAGTGGGAAAATATCCTCCAGTTACGATTAAGAAAAACAAAACAGCCGGGACCGGTTTGGCTCAGTGGATAAAGCGTTGGCTTGGGGACTGAAGGGTCCCGGGTTCGATTCTGGTCAGGGGCATGTACCTTGGTTGCGGGCATATCCCCAGTGGGGGGTGTGCAGGAGGCAGCTGATTGATGACTCTCTCTCATCGATGTTTCTGGCTCTCTGTCTCTCTCCCTTCCTCTCTGTACAAAATCAATAAAATATATTAAAAAAAGAAAAAAAAAGAAAAACGAAACAAAACAAAAGAAGTAACATTTGTGGACCAAAACCTCAGCGCCACTGTTCTAGACTTGCCTCTATTAACTCAGGATATTCTCATAGAAGGCCCGGGAGGCAGCTCTACAAGTAGCCTCACTACACAGAGGAGGGTGCTGAGGCACAGGGCGGCTCCAGTGGCCCAGGTCACATGGCTGCCGACTGGCAGTTGGGATTCAAATGTTCTTAATCTGGCTCTGCTGCCTAAACTCTCACCCACTCCCTTCTACTACGTGAAGACTCAGAAGGTCTGACAACTGTCTCCAACAAGGGTGGAAGTTAAGAGGCTTAGAGTTAACGGAAGAGGCCTAGGAGGCCTAGTGAGTGGAAGTCACGTGGCTGGTAAACCATGCTTTTAGGAAGACCAGATGTGTCAACATGGTTCCCAGGCCCTGTCTGATCAGGCCCTAACCCCTCTTTACTTTCCCTTGGTATAGGCAGTCCTTTCCAGTGCTTTTGGAGCTAGATGATGTCCTCTTAGTCTTCCCTCCCCCTTCCTGCAAAGCTGAAGAGCAGGCCCTCTCTATCCTCATTCAAGTGGGTTCCCACACAAGAGCATTCAGAGCCGAGACTAGAACTCTCCCCAAGCCCTGGAAGCCCTTCCGCCCAGCAGGGATGGAGCCTGGCAGGACACCCTGGGAAGAGTGCGTTCCCCAGGGAGCAGACAGGCCACATTTCATACAACTCGCCCAGGACATGGAGAACTATCAGGTGCCAGCAGAGGATCCAGATCACAGCCTCCAGCGCTGCTCCGGCCCCGCCCATCTACTCACTTCATCAGGAGACTTCGCTGTAGGAGAAATGTTCCAGAGTCAGCTTAGCTCCCTGACCCTGAAGATATTTGGTTTCTTCCAGCTTTAAGAGACTATAATTCTAACCCTCGTGACTAACAGGAAGATGGCACAGTAGCTAAGAGTACCACCCTGGGGCTGAGACTTTGAGCAAGTCATTTAAGCTCTTGGAACCTCAAGTTTAAGAGTACAGTAACAGTAATATCACAGCTCATTGGGTTGAATGAGGGAATGCAGGTAAATTACTCTGTTATAGATTAGAGACGGGATGCATGAAATTAGTGCAAGAGTAGGCCTTCCTTCCCCCGCCTGCCAGCACTGGCTTCCCTCTGGCCGCCAGCAGGCACCTGGGACCCAGGCTTCCCTCGCAGCCCCAGCTTCATCTGGTCTAATTAGCATATTACGCTTTTATTATTATAGATTATAATAAGGAAGAAAAGGGCAATTTGTGGGAAAAACTACAGGCTGTGTATGTTTGTAGACATACAGAAAACAGTTGATCATACAGTAAGTTTTTACTGGGCTACAAAGGAAAGCTCACATTTTGCACAGTTTTCAAAACAGCTTATTTTTAAAAACATAAGAATAATAAAAAATAAACATGGCTATTTTTTTATCTTCAAAAATTTCACTGCCAACCAACACCTCCCATTTGAGAAGGGAATGAGAAAGGCAGACCCTCAAATGGCCTGAGTGAGTGACTCAGACCCAGGGAGGGAGCTACCTGTAGTCAGGAAGGTCCAGCCTCCCAGTGAGAAGGAATTCCAGGGCCTGTCTGGGCAGTGCCTCTCTTTGGAAAGCAATGGTTTGTTTTTGTTTTTGTTTTTGTTTTTGTTTTGGAAGGGGGTACTGTTACATTTGCTTGGTCTGTGTCAAGCCATGCCCCATATCTCAAAACAACAACAGAAACCCCTAACTAGATCACCAGATAAAATGCCTCGCTGCTTCTTTACAAAAAGAAACAAAGAAGAAATCAAAACAACACATACAACCCTACTTACTATTTTGTTTTTTAAAGTAATTTGAGTGTTCGGGAAATTAAGCCTCCAGCATCAAGGCGGGCAGCTGCCCCAGGCCTGCTCCACCCAGCTGATGTTTAATGGTAACGTGGCCGCTGACTCAGCCAGCGGGCAGCCTCCCCCACACCAGCCGCTCTGAGTGCAGCTCCTCCGGCAGCGCGGGGACCAGGTCACTGTCCCCGAACCCACCAGTGAGCGATAGCTCCGCGTCAGGGTGACGCTCTGAGCCCCACCCAGAGATGCGGGCTCCCCTGTGCTAGGACCCACGGCTTCGGCACGCCGCCCTGCCCGAGGCCAGCTCCCCCCCCCCCCATCCTGGCACAGAGGGTGCCCCTGAGTGAGTCAGAGAGCAGCGAGCGCCCGGACCCCCTCCCCAGGCCGGCGTCTCCCTCCGCTCCCGCCAGCAGCTCCGCTCCGCGGCCCGGGACCCCGCACAGGGCGACCCCGCGGAAAGGGGGGCTCCAAGCCGCCCCCGTGTGTATGTGAAACCGTGTGTGACACGTGTGCATGTATGATACCGTGTGTGACACGAACACTTCTATCGGCTCCAGCGTGTGCATGTATGATAGCGCATGTGACACGGCACTTCCAGCCGCCCGGCGTGTGCATGTATGATACCGTATGTGACACGAACACTTCTAGCGGCTCCAGCGTGTGCATGTGTGAGACCGTGTGTGACACGAACACTTCTAGCGGCTCCAGCGTGTGCATGTGTGAGACCGTGTGTGACACGAACACTTCTAGCGGCTCCAGCGTGTGCATGTGTGAGACCGTGTGTGACACGGGCTCTGGGCGCGGGGGCTGGACAGGCCGCCGCTGGCAGTGGAGCCCGAAAGGGGGCCGCGCCCGGAACCCAAGGATAGGACCCCATTCCCGGAGGCAGGAGGTCAGCCGTCACCCCGCGCTGGGCGATGCGACCACGGGGAGCACCCGCGCCCCGCGCCCCGCGCCCCGCGCCCAGCTGCCGGGGCAGAGCGCAGGCGCGGCAGCGCGGACGCCGTGGCCCCAATGCCCTTCCCGCACCTGCCCCGGCCGGGCCGCCGTCAGGCTCACACCCCCCCGCCCTCCGGTCCTTCAGGGACCGGGCACTGCGCTCTCCCCCAGCGGGACCCACCGGAGCGGGAGAGGGGCCCTGGCTCCCGCCGAGGCCGGCGGCGTCCCCGCCCGCCCGCCCGCCCGGCCCGCCGCCCCGCCGCCCCCGCCCGCAGCCCCGGCCCGCTTACCCCACCACGGAGACCATCATGGCGGCCAGCACCAGGTAGTTGGTCTGGTAGTAGAGCAGGTTGCTCACCACGCGGTTGTTCCATTTGGAAATGTCCCTGAAGTCCGGCCGCGCGAAGCGGTCGGAGCCGGGGAAGAAGTCGTCCCAGGCCCGGAGCGGGGCGAGGTTCACGTCCATGTCTGCGGGCTCCGCGCTCTGCAACCCGGGGCGGCGGCGGCGGCTCTGCGGTTGGCGGCGGCGGGGCCGGGAGCCGGAGGCGGGAGGGCGTTTCCCGCCCTCACTTCCTGGTGGCTCTGCTCTGCTCTGCTCTGCTCTGCGCGGGGGTCACAGGGCAGCCGAGGTCCTGCGGCAGAGCCAGGGGCAGAGGTCCAGGGAGAGATGGGATGACCGACAGGGACCGGCGGACACTAACCTAAACTCCTCCCCGGAAGGCCAGGCACGGCTCCTTTAAAACTCCCTGGGCGTGTGCAGGAATGCGTGGCCCTCGGGGAGGTTTCTGCAGCTGTCCCCACGCCAGCCTGAGCAAAACGGAATGGAGGCGACTGTAGTGTCACTGGAGGAGGAGCCGGTTTTGGACAACTAAGTCCTTTCTAATTTCTGCACATCTGAATGGGATGATCGTGTTTTCTCACGAGACCCTATGAGTGAAATCAGACTGGCAGAACCGGGAAGAAGACTGTAGGACAGGATTGGTTTGTTCACTTTTGTCTTTGTTCTCCATGTCTATTCCCTCCGGGCAAAACTTTCCCACGACGCTGCCGTTCTGATCAAGTGGGCACTCTGGGCACGCCAGCCCGATCTGGGCACGCTGTCTGCCTTCCAAAGCAAACAATGGTTTGCAGTGAACTCTTGTTCTGCACTCAGCACTTACTGGGCAGACACATGGCTTCCTCTCAAAAAGACCTTTCTTAGTTTGGTCCTGATATTTGGGGACAGCTTTCAGTAAGGGAGCACAGTGCTTCTGAAGCTGGATGTAACCGGTCCAAGGCCACCTGTCACTCCTCGAGCCAAATTAAGCTGAGTCCGGCTTGAATCATGTATGAGTGTTTATTCCAATAATGCTGGCAGCATGGTAGAGCAGCAGGTCACCCTAGAAATTCTGCTCTAACCTCTCCTACTAATTCTCTAAAACCCAGTTCTTCCGTTGGCATTCCTGAGGCAAACTCCCCCAGGGGGTCAGGGATCCAGGCACAGCAACCAAATCAAAGCTTGTGCTGTTCTTTGTTCTCAAAATGTATTTTATTTTCTGAGTCATGGACTCACTGGGCTTAGAGGAGTCTCTTATCTCTTTAAAGCCCTGTTTTTCCCCTTGCAGAATGTCCTCCAGATTCCCAGGGTTGTAAGAAAACCTCATCTATACGTAGCAAGGTGAGTAATTGTAAACACCTGTAGTCCTATTCTTATTCCATGCCCTCTCCCTATCACTCTAATAGAAAATGGTAGTTTTGTATCCACGCCAAAACAATTTAGTTGTACATTCCCTGCTACAGCTTCCAAAGGGTTTTCCCTTCTACCCCCTGTCCCCCCAGTTAAGGGGCTGGTTGATATAGTAAACCTCCTTTTATCTCAAATGCAAGAGGAAAAGTATTTTAGTTTACTTCATAGTGTGGAAGGGAAAATTCTAAGATGCTAGTGTATAGTATAAGGATAGCAACTATGCCACCATTTTTCAAAAAAGTCAGAAAACAATAAAATATACCTAAAGCAAAGTCTAGAAGACATAATTTGATTTTCCTTGATGATTTACAAGGCAATTAAGGGACCTGCAATGACTTAAGAAATACTCCAGCCCGACCGGTGTGGCTCAGTGGTTGAGCATCGACCACTGGTCACAGGTTTGATTCTTGTTCAGGGCGCATACCCAGGTTTCAGGCTCGATCCCCAATGAGGGACATGCAGAAGACAGCCGATCAATGATTCTCTCTCATCATTGATGTTTTTATCTATCCCTTCCTCCCTCCCCCTCTAAAATCAATAAAAATATTATTTAAAAAAAGAAAATACTGCTGTCATTGGTGTTGAATAAAGCTTAAAATGTGAAAATACTAGTATTCCTGAGCTCTCACATTTTCTTGATTCTAGAAAAATGGGAAGATTTAAAATCAGAGCAAAATTAGTCCCAACTCCTCCATTTGTTGCTGGTGACTTTGAGAAATTACTTAGTTTCATTCAGCCTCAGTTTCTTCATGTGTAAAGTGGCTATAGTAAGAACATCAGCCATGAAGCTGAGTAAGAGTGAATGGGAAGTGCTTAGTGTATAGTGTAGAGTAATTGCTCACAGTTAGATATTACTGTTATTGCTATTATTGCTATTAATAACACAGCCCATGATTCATTTGGTATCATGGTATTAATAGTGCTTTAACCTGATTTGTTTTCTATGATTTCATAATGAACATCCACTGACTTTGCTCTATTTTGTTGCAACTTTATTGTGGTAGTTGTAGCTGGGTAGACCTGGTAGGGTATAAGAGGTTGAAAATTTTTAGTGTGATGTCAAAGATATTTTGTATCCCGTCAAGGCCCCATGAAAACATTCTGAAAGACAAACAAGTTGAGAAGAATGCAGCCTTTCCCCGCCTTCAAGAACCTTGCAATGTAGTGAACACACTAACTTAAACACCAAAGAGTGAGAGGAATACTATCTGGAGATGAGCCAGGCCTTGGTGCTGAGTTACAGGAAGGCAGAGGGTGTGGGAGAGTTCCCTGGGGTTCACAAATGTCAAGAAGCTGCCCTGTAGGTAAACTGAATAAATGATCTTGGTCAAGACCAACATAGGGGCCCCTGTAGGGCCCACATTTGTTGGACTGTGATCAAGAACTGTTACCTTTCAATTGCTCAGTATGGCAAAACCACAAGCCATCAGTGTATGTTAGTAATAATGTGATTACTCATTGATCATAAGTAATTAATATTCAATAAACATTTATTAAGTGTAGTTTTATTTATTTGTCCAAACACCCAAAGAGGTTTAAAAATAAAAGAGCTCTGGCCAGTGTGGCTCAATCATGGAAAGGTCGCTGGTTCAATTCCTGGTCAGGGCACATACCCAGGTTGCAGGTTCGATCCCCAGTTAGAGTGAGTGTAGGAGGCAACTGATGGATGTTTCTCTTTCACACCGAAGTTTCTCTCTCACTCTCTCTCTCTCCTCCCTCTCCTTTCCTCTCTCTCTAAAAAAATCAATAAAGACATAGTTTTAAAATAATGTCAAAATAACAAAAGAAATGGGGGGGGAGCCAGGTATAGTGGTACAGAGCATGAACTGCTTCTCTCTCTCCCAAATGTTATATATGCTTCTCTTTCTAGTTGGATTATAATTACAAAGCCCATTGGAGTATCAACAAAGTCCGCCTCTCCGCCCTGCCCACCCCGCCCTCCGGCCCAGCCAACCCCGCTCTCCGGCCCCCACGCACTGCCCGCCTCTGCCCACAGGCCCCGCCCCCACGTGCTGCCCGCCTCTGCCACAGGCCCCGCCCTCCTGCCCCGCCCCCCGCTCACGTCAGCCCCGCCCTCTCGCTTCCACCAACCCCGCCCTCCGGCCTCCGCCGCCCCGCATTGCCCGCCTCTGCCCACAGGCCCCGTCCCCACGCACTGCCTGCCTCTGCCACAGGCCCCGCCCCCACGCACTGCCTGCCTCTGCCACAGGCCCCGCCCCCACGCACTGCCTGCCTCTGCCACAGGCCCCGCCCCCACGCACTGCCCGCCTCTGCCCACAGGCCGCCGTCCCCACGCGTTGCCCGCCTATCGACAGGCCCCGCCCCGGCCCCGCCCCCGCGCCTGGCCCCGCCCGCCGTGGGGGCACCTGGGAAGAGGCGGAGAACAATATGGCGGATGGCGAGGAGCCGTAAGTACCCGGGCAATTCGGGCACCGGCCGGGCTGGGTTGTGACTGAGCGCGGCGGTGGGCGGTCGCCGCCGCCACCCGGGGTCCCCCCACCTCCCGCTCCGTCTCCTCGCCCCCCGTCCTCTCGCGGCGCCCAGTGTGTAGCGTGATGCTGACCCTTCTTTTATTCTCTCTTTCTTTTAGGGAGAAGAAAAGAAGGAGAATAGAGGAGCTGCTGGCTGAGAAGTTAGTGCTGCCGGGAGGCCGGGGCCCTCTCCGGGGACCCCCGCCTCCCCTCTCCCCAGGCCTAGGGGACCAGCCGCAGCGGGCCCGGGGGGCTGGGAGCGGGGCACCGGAGCACAGGCCGCGCGGTCTCGGTCCCCGCCCGGGCCCGGCCGGTGCTGGACCGCGGGTCTGGGGACCCCTGGCGCCCCCCTTCCAGCGCCCCGCGGTCAGAGACGTGACTTGGGAAAGGGGCTCTCACGTGCACACAAAACGAATGCAGGCCGTTCGCAAACACGGAGCCAGGCTTAATTGCAGACTTTGAGAACTTTCTATGGTATCGGACCAAGCACTCGTGTCATTTTTGCAGAATAATTGGCTCCTAGAGGAGAGTTGGCTCCAAAGAACTTATTTAGCCCGTTTACCACCCGCCCTGCCGCTGTCGGGCGCTGAGCGCTGCCGCTGAGCAGGTGTAAACAGTGCCCGCCCGCCCGCACCTCGCAGCTCCCGCCGCGGGGCGGTGGGTGTGGCGACCCAGTCCGCCCGGGCCGGTTCCCACGGCGGAGCCTTAGGCTTGGGGTGTCGCCCTCCAGGTGGCATTGCATTTGCAAGGGATAGGCCTGGCGAGCTTCTTTCCACACTTCTTCCCGCCTTTCCTTCCCACTTTTGCTTAAAATGATAAAGTTTGCATCCTTAACACTGTTATATGCCAAGTATTGTACTAAGGCCTTTTATGTGGATTACCTCATCCTTACCCTAAGTAGCTAGAAAAATCTGTAGATGAGTTTTATGGCTGTTAAGTAATCTACTCAAGGTCACAATGCTAGTAATTATGGAACCAAATGAGCTGGAATACCAAAACCCAAGGTCTTTATTGCCAGGCCATAGTTATTGGTCCCTTTTGTAAAAATTGGATATTAATAATATATTTGAATGCAGAAGTTGTGGGGTTGTAGGAAATTAGAAAACTAAAAATCATTACAAAGTAGATAGAGGAGTCCAGTCTTAGAACACAGTTGTGGGATATAAAAGATTTCAAATGCTTATATGTGACATAATTGTAACCTAAAACTTTTTGTGTTCAGTGGCAACAAAAACCATTTCATAGTTTTTAAAAATATTCTTTTTTGAAAATTGGGACCTCTGTTTCAGATAAAAATGCGTGAAAAATTTCTTTCATCAAAGATCTTTAAATCACATCTTTCAAACTTGGAAAGGACACAGGAGCTAGATGTGAATCATCACAATTCTGAAAGTGGAATTACATATTTATTTTCCTCTTATAACATATTTCCTGACCCAACTGTGTTGAAGGAACAGATTGGGGAAGTTTGCAATGATCTTTTATAAATTTCAAATGTATAAAAGCCTATTTCTCACTGATTAAACAATATCCTAAGTTTGATTTTGGCTTGCTTTAGGAACCCAGAAACAGGCAGACTGATTTATTTAATCAAACACATGCAGTTCTTACCTTTAAATAATTTATAATAGCCAAGAAAAAAGTTAAAAGCTTAAGCATAATCACATTAAATGATTCCTTTTGTATTTGGGCAGGTGTGGTGTTGCCTTTTCTTTTGGGGAAGCCATAGTAGTTGTAGGTGCGGTTTTCTTTCATACTGACGTGTGCGGCTGAATTTACTGTGTTCTGTGCAGAATGGCTGTTGATGGTGGGTGTGGGGACACTGGAGACTGGGACGGTCGCTGGAACCATGTAAAGAAGTTCCTCGAGCGATCTGGACCCTTCACACACCCTGATTTCGAACCCAGCACTGAAGTGAGAAACATTTATTTTTATTTTTAAATAACTCCTCTAATAGTTTTATTTCAAAAATAAGATGCTTTCTTTTTCACTTGCTCTCATAGTAAAAATACTAATAAAATTGTGTAAGTTATCTTGAAATACTAAGTTGAATACTTGCAACTGGTTTTATTTAAATGGCTAATATTTAAGTCATTTTTACATTTTTTATGTAATATGTTGACTTTCTTTTTAGTAAAAAACTTTATAATCTCATTTAAAATTCTAACTTAAATTTTACTTTAAATTTTAGTTTAAAATGATTTCTGAGAAACTCCCTTTTTAGTTTTGCTCTTAGAAGTTACTTTTGATAGGAAGATATGTATGCTTGTTTAAATTTTGGAATTTAATTCAACTGAGCTTCTTTACTTAGTATTGAGTAAAACTAATTGCATGTTAAAAATTATATGAGTTCTGTGAAATAGGAATGGAATTTTGGACAGATAGTATGTTGACTTAAAGCAGATGTTCAATTAGATAAGACTTTTTTAATTACAAAGTAGAAAAAGTTGCCTTTTTAGTAAACTTTTATGTCATTTTTTATGTGTAAAGGGGATACTGTTTTGAATTAAAAATATTGTGCTCCTGCCGAAGCCAGTTTGGCTCAGTGGTAGAGCGTCGGTCTGCAGACTGAAAGGTCCCAAGTTCGATTCCTGTCAAAGGCATGTACATTGGTTGCGGGCACATCTCCGGTAGGAGGTGTGCAAGAGACAGCTGGTCGATGTTTCTCTCTCATCGACGTTTCTATCTCTCTATCTCTCTCCCTTCCTCTCTGTAAAAAATCAATAAAATATATTTAAAAAAATATTGTGCTCCTCCTAGAATTAAGGTACAAACTCTTGGATTTGACCAGTGTCTCATCTGAATTACTTATCACTCCTTTAGTCTTTGGGCAGAATTGACAGTGTTTTGCTTTTTGTTGGATATATCTTTCCTGTGCTTTTAAATTTTATTTTATTTTTTTGCCTGATTATTTAAGATACTTTCGTTAAGTGATTGTTTCAAATTGTATTTCTGTTAATATACAACTTTCTAAGAATTTGTTTTTTTTCTTTTTGGAGACCTTTAAACACCTTGTGCAGTGTTTGATCCCCAGTTCTTAAGATTTTTATACTTTTCTCTTTTTAGGAAGCCAGTTAAATAATGAATTTTATGCTTTTCATCACCTTTCAAGATAAAAAAAAAAAAAAAAAAAAGATAACCTTTAACTAGCCATAGTTTTTCTTTTTTCTTTTCTTTTTATTATTATGTAATATGTTTTTATTGATTTCAGAGAAGAAGGAAGAGAGAGATTGAAACATCAGTGATGAGAATCATTGACTGGCTACATCCTGTATGCTCCCTACTGGGGATCAAGCCTGCAACCTAGGCATGTGGCCTTGACTGGAATCGAACCTGGGACTCATCAGTTCCCATGCTGATGCTCTATCCCCTGAGCCAAACTGGCTAGGGCCATAGTTTTTCTTTTTAGAAATAACCTTTAATTTTATACAGTAAGAATCAATGTAAACACATTGAAATTGAAATGCTCTGAAATCATTAGGCTTATAGAATTTCAGATTCTACCTTGTTCATAAATTTAGAAGTTTATTAAATAGAAAGTCTGCTCTTGATCTTCATTTGCGTTTTTCATAGGAACATCAGAAATTATGGCTTATTGTATTATGTTTTTTATAACTAGGTTTTAATATGCCTTTTCATTCTTTACAGTCTCTCCAGTTTTTGTTAGATACATGTAAAGTTCTAGTCATTGGAGCTGGCGGCTTAGGATGTGAGCTCCTGAAAAATCTGGTAATATATATGTAAATAAGTGTGTATATATACATGCATGTGTATATAATGTGTGTTTTTTCTCCTTTGTGGTAATTTTCCTTTTCTGTCATACTAGGAAATTTCTTTATTATGATTATTAACCTCTGTCTTGAGCTTTGTTTGATATGTTTAGCAAGTCAGCTTCCAGACACTCTTAATTTTAAAGTGCTCAACATAAAGTCATTGATAGACATTCTTGTTTTCTTCTGTGCTCTTTATCAAAGAACTCTCTGTGCATCCTCTTGCAAAGCATTCATAATTTTAAAATGCAATTTGCAAGTATTGATTATTTCTTTTTCTCCTTAAGATAACCCACTTGGAGAGGGCATTGGCTCATGTTATATTCTAGTAGGTGGAGATGTGGTTCTGAGAGGTGGCTTACCTCGCTGTTTGGATGACAGTGATGGGCCGGGAATCTAACCCAGATGATCTGTTCTTAGGTGTTGACTGAACCATGTTAATTTGCTTTTAACAACTATCATTTTAAGAGGGTACTATTTAGTGAAGCTATTTTGTATACTGGTTTGAAATCTATAATTTGTGATTTAATTAATTAGTTTCATTGACTTCTGATAACCACAAAGTAGCTTTTTTTATTTTTGACAAGTATCAGTTTATTTAACAAAGATGGGTGGTAGGAGAGCTGATTGAGAGCTGATGTATGCCAGGCTTCTGCTGATGTGTAGAAAAGTGGAAATGCTAGAGTACACTCCTTAGAAAATGGAGTAAAAGAACCAGATAAAAAGTCAGCCATGTTGCTAACGTTTAAATTAGGGGTGTCGAACTCAATCAGAGAAGGGGCCAAAATCTAAAATCCAGCCTAAATCGCTGGCCGAATGGTTTACTGAACAGTCATAAACTGTCATTGTGATGGAAACGCAGTGGAGTGCAGTGATGACAGCGCGGTGCGGGCCACATTGCAAGGCCTGGCGGGACGGATTTGGCCCGCGGGCCTTGTGTTTGACACATGTGGTTTAAATATAAACAGCCATGTTAATTTTGCTAGGAAGCACTAACATCACTCCTAGTGAAACTGCAAAAACTTAATACACTTCATGGTACTTAGTGCTGTGCTGGTTCTGTGGGGATCATCATGGTCTCTGTCCTTAATGAATATGAAGTTTCAGTGGGGAGACAACTCACACAAAATAAATAGCAATATGTCTGATGTACTCTGTAGGGTGCCCAAATGTCAGTACCTTCCCAGAGTTCTAGAAGGGAAGGGTGGGTAGTGGTTCTCATAGGCATTGCATGCACATATTTCCTAGTGCTTAACCTTTTCCATTTTGAAGCTGTTATTTGCAAAAAGGAGATACATACTCATTTTAAATGTAAGGTAATTGGAGATTAGATCTGAAGAGTAGTCCTCAAGCAGCTTTAGGTGGCCATGCTATTTATTGCATTGTAATACACTCTTACACAAAAGAAGAAAATAGGGTTTTTAATTTTATCACTTGTTACAGTGGTGCCTCACACAACGAACTTAATTCGTTCCAGGAGCAAGTTTGTTATGCGAAAAGTTCGTTATGTGAAATGCGTATTCCCATAACAATACATGTTAAAAAAAATAATTCGTTCTGTAGCATAAAATATGCTAAGATGACATAAAAAAAGATAAATTTTTTGTTATTATTTTTATTTAGATACATCTAAAAACATAATTTTTTTAAAAAAAAACACACATTTTTTTAATTTTAAGACAGACTAAGTAGAGTCTACCAAATCTTGCACATCTTCATCCATTTTCTGCTTTTTGGCCGATGGTTTCATGAAAAACCTGTCCAAAGTCGTTTGTTTTTCTCTTTTCTCCAACATCTGCCGGAAATAACGGACAAGAGTATCGGAGTAAAGATCGTTGATCCTGTTTGCTTCAGCTGAATCCGGATAGTGGGCATTGGTAAACTCCTGAACTGCTTTCCATTTGACCAGGATGTTCTTGATGTCAGCAGTTGGGATTGGTTGGTTGTTTGATTGTTGCTCCTCGTTATCAGATGACGCTTCCCTTTGAGCATTGTCCTGTTTCATTTCAACAGAAATCACCTTCCTGCTTTTTTTAGAAGCCATGATATAAAAAAAATATTGAGTTTAACTTAAAAGGACGACTGCCGTGATACGTGCGTGATTTAATTCGTAATGAAGAACGATTGCCGCGATACGTGCTTAAGTTAAGCGCAGTGACTAACGACTGCCTGCAGTGCCTGCGCGGAAGGATGCAATACATCGGCAGCGATCGTGGAAGCTCGGGCGAAGCAGTCGTGGAAGCTCGGGCGACTTCGTTGTGTGAAACGAAGTTCGTTGTATGAATCATGAAATGAAGTTCGTTGTGTGCAGCGTTCGCTGTGCGAGGCGTTCTTTATGCGAGGCACCACTGTATTTTGCTTATTTCAGTACATAAGAGATACACATCTTTTTATAAATTGTAAGCCCCCCAATGCTCATTGTTAAAAAAATGAGTATGACAATATTATTATTATCATTATTATTTAATTGATATTTAGAGAGGACGGGGGACAGAGAGAGAGAAACATCTATGTGAGAGTGAAACATCAGTCTGCTGCCTCTTGCATGCCACCTGTTGGGATCAAGCCCACAAACCAGGCATGTATAGCATTGAACAATATAGACAGATATTTGTGGGGCTTACATTTTAGTGGAAGGAAAAAGATAAGTAAAATATAGTATGTCAGATGATAATGTTTTGGAGCAAGGAAAGATGAAATATAGGTAGCCTGGTCGAAAGGGAGTGGGCTCATGAGGTACAATTTGAGCAAAGAGGTGAGCAAGGACGTTCTAGACAAGAGGGAACAGCAGGTGCAATAGCTGTGAAATGGGAGCATGATGGTCCTGTTCAAGGATAGCAGGGAGGTCCTTACAGCTACAGCAGAAGTAGGTAAGGGAAGTATTTTTGGAGGGGATATCAGAGGCAATGGGAGATGGCGATGTTTGAAATTAATACCACAAAAAGGCATTGGAGGTCACTAAAAGAACTTAGCCTTTTTCTCTGGGTCAGAATGTCTGGGGAGAGGTTTAGGCAAATGAGTTGACAGGATCTGACTTGTAACCAGGACCATTATGGCTGATGTGTTTAGAAAAGCTGCAGGAAGAACAGAGGAGGAGGCTGAGGGCTGGGTGAAGGTTGTTGCCGTCATCTAGGCCAGAGATGACTGACGTAGGACAGGGTGGAAGTGTTGGAGGTTTGAGAGGCAGGCAGAAGATAAAGTCAACAGGATTTGCTACTGGTTTGGTTGTGGGACAGGAGAGAAAGAAGAGTCAAAGATGACAACAGGGTTTTGCCCTGAGCAACTGGAAAGATGGACTTAGCATTCACTGACATGAGGCTGGAGAAGGACAGATTTGGTGGAGTTGGTGAAAAAGACGGTTGAGTTTGATTTTGGAAACTTTAAGTTGAGATGTCTGTTGGATATGCTTAGAAGATTGTCTGGGGGGGAAAAAAAGATTGTCTGAGATCACCAGAACTAAGCACAAGGGCTGTCAAGAATCTAGCCAGTAAAGCAGGAGGAAAACTGAATGTGGTAAGTACAAATCCTCAGGCGTGTAGGGACCGAGTGAGGAATGTGTTCTTAGGAATTGATCCACACAGTGTCAAATACGAGTACTTCAGACAGGTCAGGTCACTGGAGGTGGCAACACTGGTGACCTAGACAAGTGCTGTTTTCAGTGGAACGGTGAGAGGGGACATTTGTTTAGAGCAGGCGTGGGCTGATAAGGCCCACGAAGTCTTTTAGTCTGGTCCTGCCAAGGCACTAGGGATGAGTTAATTCCATGTTTGACCAAATATAGCAGGATAGTTTTTAAAAATACATATATTTTTAATGATTTCAGAGAGAAAGGGAAAGGGAGAGAGAAACATCAATGATGAGAGAGAATCATTGACTAGCGCCTCCTGCATGCCACACACTGGGGATTGAGCCTGCAACCTGGGCATTGACCGGGAATTGAACTGTGACCTCCTGGTTCACAGGTTGATACTCAACCACTGAGCTCCACTGGCTGGCTAGCAGGCTGATTTTTAAGTTGTAATTTTGTATGACCCTCACATGATGCTGTAAATATCCACATGGCCCTTGGCAGAAAAATGGTTCCCCACGCCTGGTTAGAGGATAAGCACCAGAGAGAGTTTGAGAAAGCAAGTATAGACTTGCTTGGTTATAGACTAAAACAACTCTTTTGAGGATTTCTTGTTACCATAGGGGCAGAAAAAGTGGGAAAATTATTAACAAGTGATTTAATTTGGTCACACTGACCAAGACCAGAAAAGTATAATTAATTAATGAAACTTATAATTTTTTACCCCATATTTTGCTTCTGGTAAATTTGAGCAGTGGTTGTATTGTTAGAATGCAGGACATGATCACTGACACACAAAAGTTTTTTTCTAGCTGCTTTGATTGCTTTTTTTTATTATTTTTAATATATTTTATTGTTTTTTTTTACAGAGAAGAAAGGAGAGAGATAGAGAGCTAGAAACGTCGATCAGAGAGAAACATTGACCAGTTGCCTCTTGCACACCCCCCTACCCGGGATATGCCCGCAACCAGTGTACATGCCTTGACCGGAATCGAACCTGGGACCTTTCAGGCCGCAGACGATGCTCTACCACTGAGCCAAACCGGTTTCGGCTGATTGCTTATTTTTTATTTATTTATTTATTTATTTATTTATTTATTTATTTTATTTTTTTAAATAAATTTTTATTGTTCATATTATTACAAATGTTCCTTTCCCCCCCCTTCTCACCCCAACCTGTGCCCTTTCCCCACCCCCCATTGTCCTCATCCATAGGTGCACAGTTTATGTTCACTCTCTTCCCACATCCTCCTCTCCCCTTTTCCCCAAGAATAAACAGTTCACTCCCCTTCCATACCTCTGATTCTATTATATTCAACAGTTAATATTGTTCCTCAGATTTTTTTTTTTTTTTTTAGTTTCCTTGGTTTTTAGATTCACTTGTTGATAGTTAGGTATTAGTTGTTCATAATTTTTATCTTTATTTACTTTCTCTGCTGAAAGAACCCCCTTCAGCAATTCATATAATTCTGGTTTGGTGGTGATGAACTCCTTTAGCTTTTTTTTATTAGTGAAGCTCTTTATCTGACCTTCGAATCTGAGTGATAGCTTTGCTGGATAGATTATCTTTGGCTGTAGGTTCTTGCTATTCATCACCTTGAATATTTCTTGCCATTCCCGTCTGGCCTGCATGGTTTCTGTTGAGAAATCAGCTGACAATCATATAGGTGCTCCTTTATAGGTAACTACCTTCTTTGCTCTTGCTGCTTTTAATATTCTCTCTTTGTCTTTTGCTCTTGGAATCTTAATTATGATTTGTCTTGGTGTGGTCCTCTTTGGATTCCTTTTGTTTGGAGTTCTGTGTGCTTCCTGGACTTGTAAGTCTAATTCTTTCACCAGGTGGGGAAAGTTTTCTGTCACTATTTCTTTCAGTATGTTTTGATATCTTGCTCTCTCTCATCTTCTGGGACCCCCATAATTCTGATGTTGGTTCGCTTGAAGTTGTCCCAGAGGTTTCTTACATTATCTTCAACTTTCTGGATTCTCTGGCCTTCTTGCGTCTGCGGAGGAGTGTCTTCTGGCTCTTTATGTTCCAAATCTTTGACTTGATTCTTGCGATCTTCCATTCTGTTTTTAGGACTCCATAAAATATTTTTTATTTCAGACAATGTATTCTTTATTTCTTGTTGATCCCTTATTATTTCTAGTTGATCCTTTTTCATATCCTCATAGGTCTTGTTTATTTTATTGGACTTTTCTAAGAGATTCTTGAACAACCTTATAAGTGTGGTTTTGAACTCTATATCCAGTCGCTTTTTGTCCTACATTTCTTTCGTTTGTGATTTATTTGGTTTAGACATTTTCGAAGACAGCTTTTCTGATGGGGCGGGGTTTCAGGGTGGAGCCTACAGCCTTGGCTTCCGTCAGCCCCACCCTATGCGACTCCTGAGACTCAGGGTCCTTCAGTACTTATTGCGAGCGCCTCTGAGAGAAAGGTGCCCTCGATTTTCGCCTGCTGCCAAACTGTCTATGCTCTCCCCCAATGAGTCTGGTATTGGGGTTCAGTTCAGTTGGTAGTGGGATTGGAGGTGGCGTTCAGAGCAGTCTGGAGCCCCTGTCAGGGCAATCCCACTGCACAGCCGGCCGGCCCTTCTCTGCGCGCAGTGTGAGCGCCTCTGGGACCTCCTTTCGCTGCTTCCCCGGAGTCCCGCCTTACAGCCCGGCTCCCTATGGATGAGCCTGGGTCCCCGGGGTCTGGCCTAGAATTGGGGTTCAGAGCAGTTGGAGCTGGGCCCAGCACAGTCGGAGCTTTTCTCTCCTTCCTGCTTGGGACCGCCAGCCAGGCACTCGGCCTCCCTCCTCTCCGGCTCTGTCTTCTCCGCGCGCGCCGCGTGTCTCCGTACCTTGGGCTTTTACAGCTCCTCTGCGCTTCCTTCTGGTTTTCTCCTTGCTTCTTGTTGTAGAATTTCCAGTCAGTCGACTTTCCTGTAGTTCTGGGTAGTGTCCATTTTATATTTTAGTTGTATTTTGTTGAAATTGTGTGCGGCTGCGGCTAGTTGCCTACCCGAGCAGCCATCTTGGATTCTCCTGATTGCTTATTTTTAAAAAAATACATTTTTATTGATTTCAGAGAGGAAGGGAGGATAGAGAAATAGAAACATCAGTGATGAGAGAGAATCATTGACTGGCTGCCTCCTGCACGACCCCTACTGGGGATTGAGCCTGCAACCCAGGCATGTGCCCTTGGCTGGAATTGAACCTGGGGCTCTTCAGTCCGCAGGCCAACACTCTAGCCACTGAGCTAAACGAGCTAGGGTTGATTGCTTATTCTTGACTCAGTACTTTTGTTGTTAATCCTCACCCAAGGATTTTTTTTTTTCATTGAATTTTAGAGAGAGAGGAGGAAGGGAGAGACTGCTGGGTAAGGAGAGAGAGCGAGAGCAAGAGCAAGAGCGAGAGAGAGAGAGAGAGAGAAATATTGATTGGTTGCCTCCCACATCTGAGCAGGTCAGGAGATCAAACCCTGCAATTCAGGTACATGCCCTTGATCAGGAATAGAGCCCAAGACCCTTTGGTGTTCCGGCTGACACTCTAAACCTGGAACCACAATAGCCAGGGCCTGACTCAGTACTTTTCAGCTTTTTCTTTTACATGTGCTGTGTGTGTGTGTGTGTGTGTGTGTGTGTGTGTGTAACATATGTACCTTATAATAGGTATTTCTGAATGGTACATGCTTAATGTTATATAAACTAAGATAAAGCTTGTATGAATTGCTTATAATAATATTCTGAAAAAAAACCTAGTAAATGCAATTATTTAATGAGATTAGTAAAATTAAAGTGTCCAGCAGTAGCAAAGCAATAAACTTTACAGATGTATTTATAAGATTATAAAACAACTGTAGAAATTTTGAATTGTTCCTTTTTGGTTATAGACTAAAACTGAGTATTTACACATTTTGACTTTCCAGGGACATAAATATTACATATGTTTCACAAGTCCCTTTAACAATTGAATACGATTATGCAGAATTTATTATTGAGAATTTATAGATTTAGGACTACATTGAAAATAAATGTCAATTTTTTCGAATGTGAGGGAATTTCTACTTAATTGGATTTCTTTATTTCCACAGGCTTTGTCTGGTTTTAGACAGATTCATGTTATAGACATGGACACTATAGATGTTTCCAATTTAAATAGGCAGTTTTTATTTAGGTAAGTTTTAATATCCTAACAGAAATTTCCAACAGGTTTATGTGATTTGGGGTTGATTGTGCTCTGAAGACACAAAGTTCAGCCTCCTCCCACTGGTGATTTCATAAGAGAACAGCAGCTGGAATAGTAGGCTCTAGTGAGATACATTGGTGGGGACATGGGAGCCAAAATCTGAGTGGTGACTCAGGGACAATGAAGTTGTGATGGAATTTGAGCTGTTTACAGGGGGAAGGAGATGAAGAATAAAGTAGAAAAAGCCAGGAGCAATTGAAATGGAAGAAAGGGATAATTAATTACCTTAGACATACATGAAAGACAGAGTCCTCTAGGAATGGTTTGTTAGAGAGACTTTTGAGAACTGGAAGTGGCATACATATGTAGTTCAGAGGAAAAGTTCATTAATTTTAGTATGTAACATATAGGGGTTTGAGTGGCTAGATAAAAGTGTCTGTTAATTAAAGAATTACAGATGTGGAGAGATAATGAACTACTCTTCTTTTTCTAGTTATTAGATTACTGACAGTAAGCAATCAGTTTGTCCTGGATTTGAAAGGTGAGGTTAGGTTAGCAGAAAAGATAAGAGATTTAGGATAGTATAAAACCTCTAACTTACCTTTGTGGAAGTTCTTAAAGAGATTGAAGAATGGGTTAAACTAAGTCAAGTTATTGAAATGTTACAATGTGAACTCTTCATTTAACTTTTATTTATTTCTTTATATTGTAACCCTTCTCTATAGAAAAGTTTTGGTGTCCTTGCCAGTCTAACTTTGCTGCATAAATGTTCTAAAAAAAAAACCAAACACCCACTATTGAATTAATTGGTTATCATAATAATGGCCATGCCTTTCAGTATAATAATAAATATTTAAAATAATGAAGATTTAAAAAATGTATATATGAGAGAAACATCAGTGATGAGGGGGGATCATTGATCATTAGCCTCTTGCATGCCGTAGACTGGGATTGAGCTGTAGCCTGGGCATGTGCCCTCACCGGGAACTAAACTGAGCCCGCTGGCCTTTAACATTCCAATTTTAAATATTTCTAATCACATTGATTTTTTTTTTAAATTTATTTTTAAAGTGTTTTTTCTGTACTTATAATACATATGAAGGAGATAAGAATATGGTCATTTCCCCCCAGGTGTTCAGTCCAGTAGGTATGATAGACCTATGAATATAACAAAAATATGTTGTAAAAAAGTAGTAATGAAGCACTAAGTGTATATTTGGGAATGATTTCTGTGAGGAGAATGAGGAAGTACTAGGAACGAATATGCCATATGCACTGAGATTGGAAGAGAGAATATGGTTATTATTTAGGAGTAATCTTTTGAGTCCTTGTATTTTTTTAGCTTCATGAAAATATTAGTGACATTTGAATATTAGATAATGCCTTTGGAATTAATTCTTTTTCACAAATGGATTGCCGGCTTATTACAGGACACAAAACTTATTACTGTGATAAGTGAAGGTTCTTGCATCCCTAGAATGAATCTCATTATGTATGTTTTAGCCAAGACCTGCATAGTAACATCTTGAAGTTCTGGGATTCAGGCTAGATACTTGGAAGGCCCTAGGCCTGGGATAATTTTTTTTTTTTTTACATTGAGAAATGCTACAATAAGAAATTGCCAGGAAACATGCCATTATTATGCTTTACCTAAGGGAATAAAACTTCTCTTTTTCATCTAAATAGACTTGTCAGTACTTAATTTGGAACATAAACAAGGGTTGGCATTTTGATTGTTCATCCCAAATACTTAGTTACAAATATTTCCTCTAAATGTTCTCTAATTAAACTCTCAACATGGATATTTTTATGTTTGAAATTAAGTAGCTCATCTAGATTGATATCATGAATAATAATTGAAATATAATTTTTCCTATAGGCCTAAAGATGTTGGAAGACCGAAAGCTGAAGTTGCTGCAGAATTTCTAAATGACAGAGTTCCTAATTGCACTGTAATTCCGTATCCTTTTCACACACAAAAAAATTACTTGACTTTGTGATGTTATTGTGAGTTTTTCTGTGCTATGAAAGACATGTTTAACACAGAGAATACAAATAAGCAAAAAGAAAAAGATCAATAGCAGTAAGTTATCTGCTGATAACATTTTGCTCTATCTTCCATTGTTTTTTTGTAAGGTTTTATACATTTTTTTATACTAATTTTTAAACTAAGCTTCTTTTAACCAGTTCTGTTGTTTATTCTGCATTATTACCCTTATGTTCAGTGTTAGCTGCATATCTCCGCTCCTAGATTCTAAGCCCCTAGGCTGGATACAGTTAATCTTGTGTCTCCTTAAAAGTAGCAGACAAAAGAGAGAGTCGGTATATTATTAACCAAATGGAAGTCTGTCAAAGTCAATTTATTTTTATAAGAAGTATGTTTTTAAAAATAAGTATTCACTCGCTTGGTTTTCATACTTTTAGATCAGTGGAATTTTTAGTATTTTGTAGAAATTCAGAGATGGGATTTGCTGTATAGAAAATCATATAGGGTACAAAGTCAGCATACAAAATTCAATTATATTTCTGTGTACTAACTGTGAACACATGAAAACTGAAATTTAAAATACAATGCCATTTATAACCACATAAAGAAAAACACCTTAGGTATGAATAAAATAAGTATATGATTTATATACTGAACACAGTGAAATGCTAATGAAAGAAATCAAAGAAGACCTAAATAGAGATATCATGTTTAGGAATTGGACAGTTCAATATAGTAAAGATGTCACTTATCCCCAAATTTGTATCTAAGTTTAACACAATCTGCCAAAATCACAGGAAAATTTTTGTCAGTACAAACCAGATTATTCTAAAATTGATATAGAAAGACAAAGGAATACCTAAAATGCTGGGGGGAAAAAAGGGGGGGGGTTACTATCTAATTTCAAGACTTTATATGTAGTTACAGTAATCAAGACAAGGATTTCGAGAGAGAGAGAGAAAGAGAGAAGTATCAGTAAAACAGAGTAGACAAGACAGAAATAGCCCTATGCAAATATGGCCAATTGATATTTGACAAAGTGTTAAGAACAATTTAACAGAAGAAGGATAATCTCTTTAACAAATTGTGTGCCAGTGGATAGCTATAGACAAAAAAAAATGAATCTTGCCCTAACCTCAAAAAGTAACTCAAAATGGATTAAAGGTTTAAGTGTCAAACTTAAAACTGCAAAACTTTGGAAGATGACAGGAGGAAATCTTTGGGATCTAGGGTTTGGTGACATGTTCTTTGACCAAATTAAAGGGGTGATACATAAAAAATTTGATAAATTGAACTTCATCAAAATTAAAAACTTTTATTTTGTGAAGGAGAATGAAAAGTAAAGCTGCAGATTGGAGGATACTTAGGCAGGTATCTGACAAAGGACTCAGAATATGTAAAGAAGTTTCAGAACTCAACTGTAAAAATAATACAATTAGAAAATGGACAGCAAAGAAAGATGTTTCACTGATGTAAAAAGCACATGAGAAGATGTTCAACATCACTAGCTATGAGAAATCCAAATTATGGCCACATTGAAATATTACCACTCAACTGTAGGACTATCTAAAATTAAAAATTATAATTATTTAGTAATTTAAAAAATGCTGGCAAAAGTACGGAAGAATTGGATTGTTCATTGCTGGAAAATATAAAATACTACAGCCATCTGGAAAGAAGTTTGTTTCTGAAAAATCTAAACATACACTTTCCATTCCTGGGCATTTATCCCAGATAAATGAATACTTAAGTCTGCATAAAAACTTGTTCTCGATTGTTCAGAACAGCTTTATTTGTAGTAGCCCAAAACTAAACACCAAAATATCCGTCAAATGAATTGTCTAATGTGATACAGCCATACTATGGAATAATATTCTATATAAAAACATACCAACTATGAAACAATAGTTTGGATTTTGGATAGATATCAAGGCCATTATGGGTATGAAAAATGCCAATCTCAAAAGGTCATCTATGGTATGATTCTATTTATATAACACTCTAAATGACAAAATTATAGAGATGGTAATAAATCAGTGATTGTCAGAGGTTAGGCATGGTGGGGGCAGGGAAGGTGTGACTCTGATCAGGTAGCAGGTGGGAGATCTTTGTGCTGATCGATTATGTGTCTAGACTGGTGGTTACACAAGTATACACATAACAGAATGATACACACTTGTACCAATGTTCCATTCACTATTTTGAGATTGTACTACTGTGTTTCCTCGAAAATAAGACATCCTCCGAAAATAAGATCTACTTACAGGTTTCCTTCTGAGTGAAATATAAGGCATCCCCCCGAAAATAAGGCCCCCCAGGCTAAACATGAGAGATTTGGTCCACTGATTCTGAAAGAGATCACAAGAAATTCACCAGGAAATTCAGGAATTGGATTGTTTTGATGATGTTCCAGAAGATGATGACATGATTGTCATTGAATAAATGAGTAAATTCTTGATACTGTAGGATTCACAGTTTATCTGGTTTGTGTTGACTACTATCGTACTACCGTACCGTATACAGGTAATTTCCTTTATTTTCATTTAACAATAAATGTACCGTATTCTTCTTCATGGAAAAATAAGACATCCCCTGAAAATATGACCTAGCGCATCTTTGGGAGCAAAAATTATTATAAGACACTGTCTTATTTTCAGGGAAACAGGGTAATGTAAGATATAACTGGTGGGAGAAACCTGGTTGTACTCTCTACAACTCCCAGTGAATCTGTTATTTCTAAATAAAAGGTTTAAAGATACAAATACAGGCCCCTGCTAAGGAGAAAGAAAGAAACATGTACACTTTATTATCCCCATTATTTAGATCTGACCTAACCTCTGACAATCACCAGTTTATTACCATTTTCTAGAAATCCAGGGGATGGGCTTTTTTCATCTAGTTCCTTGGGTCCCTCCCTCATTGCTGCTCCTCCAGTGGCTTGCTTTGGTGTTCTTGATCTTTCTGTTCCAGTTGTCACTTATGTGCCGTTTGCCTAGCTTCAAGAAATAGAACTGAATGGGTGAGGGCTTGAATTTATTTTTTATAGCTTTGTTTGTAGGCCAAGTTTTTCCCCTCTTTTTCCATTTTACTTTAAAAACATGAATAATGGATTATTATAATTTCAGAGAAGTATAACATATATTATTAAACAAAATTGCTCCATTAAGACAGTTAAATGCTTTGCACGCATATGAGTTGTTGCAATGGTAAGTGTTATGATTGGTTGATTGATGCCCAGCCAGTTTTGAAGGGGGTTCCTTTTGCACCCCCAGGCAGGAGGAGACTGCTGGTAGGGTTTTGTTGGATAAAAGAAAGAGACTTAGAAAACGAATAAACTGAGAGAGGAAGAAAGAATTCTTTCTCTCCATCCCCATCTTCACACCCCAAAAAACAACATATTATTGACAACTGAAAAAGTTGTTTTTTGGGATCTTCTGTGTGTGTGTTTTTGTGTTTTTTTTAATATTTTTTTATTTCAGAGAGGAAGGGGGAGAGAGAGAAACATCAATGGTGAGATAATCATTGATTAGCTGCCTCTTGCACACCCCCTCTTGGAGACTGAGTCAGGCATGTGCCCTGACTAGAATACAAATCATGACCTCCTGGTTCATAGGTTGACGGTCAACCACTGAGCCACACCAGCCGGGTGTGTTTTTGTTTTTTATTAGTTTTGCAGTAACTCTCAAAATCACCCAGCTAAATAGGAACTATGATGTGCTTGATCCATTGCTAAATGTTTATTATCTCTTGGCTTGATGCTGATGGTTGAGGATACACACATTCTGTTTTCTCAGGGCTCAGGATTTGATATAAAAACAAGTAGAACAGTGTTTTTCAACCTTTTTTGGGCAAAGGCACACTTGTTTCATGAAAAAAATCACGAGGCACACCACCATTAGAAAATGTTAAAAAATTTAACTCTGTGCCTATATTGACTATATATAAAGTAATTCTCTTGAATAGGAATCAAATAAACACAAAGAAAGTATTTTATAATTACTTTATTATGAAATATTAAGTAAACAAAATAGTGAAAAATTATAAAATTCTTGTCTTGTCTGCACCTACGGCACACCAGGCAACATCTCCCGCGGAACAGCGGTTGAAAAACACTGAAGTAGAAAATACTGCAGTCATAAATATAATTAAACTAGAAGCCCGTTGCAGGAAGATTTCTGCAAGTGGCCGCCTCAGCTGCCACCACCTCTGCCGCCCACCCTGCCCCGCCCCGCCCATGCTTTCCCTCTTGCAGCTGCCTTGCTTTCTGCTTTTCCTCCTCTTCTAAGCTGTCTTCAGTCTTTACTCCTCCCTCCCTCAGCTTATGCAAAGTAACTGCCATCTTTGTTGGGTTAATTTGCATACTCTGGCTTTGGGCAAAGCAAAGGTACGGTCAATTAGCATTTTTTTCTTATTAGTATAGATCACATGTGTCAAACACAAGGCCCGTGGGCCAAATCCGTCCCGCCAGGCCTTGCAATGTGGCCCGCACCATGCTGTCATCACTGCACTCCGCTGCGTTTCCATCACAATGACAGTTTATGACTGTTCAGTAGACCATTCGGCCCACGATTTAGGCTGGATTTTAGATTTTGGCCCCCTCTCTGATTGAGTTCAACACCCCTAGTGTAGATGATATAGGGGTTCAGGGATGACAGGGAGACTAAATAGTTAGGGAGAGGAGTGTTATACAGTAAAAGCAGTTTTGTCAGGAGTAGTTTGTTCATTTTGTCATCTTTCTTGAATTCCACTACTTTGAACATTTATCAGCTATTTCTTGTTTTAAATATACATTTATAAGTTTTTCCTATGGTATTTTCAAAATCACTTTACAAATTACAAACTTAGCAGTTCAAGTTCCTTTACTTATATTCAGACATTTCAACAAGATCCAGGATTTTAATGACACGTTTTATCGACGTAAGTTGTGTTCTTGAAATTCATCTCTCACTGAATTCTATTACTTGGTTAGTAGCTATTTGAAAGCTATTTAGTTGTTTTCATATATTGGTGTTGCTTTTTACAATAGTAAGGTTGTTGGCGGGTTGAAAAGAGCACAGTGCCATTGTTTTAATTCTTACTTGACACCATTAACTGCATTTTGCTGCACTGACTTGAGTAAGGATTATTCAAGGATTAGCAGATCCTTGTATATGTGTGTGTTATAATAGAAAGTGGTTTTTTTTGTTGTTGTTGTTGTTGCTATTAATCCTCACCTGAGGATTTTTTTTCCATTGATTTTTTTTTTTTTTTTTTTTTTTTTTTTTTTTTTTTTTAGATAGAGTGAAGGAAGGGAAGAGAGACAGAGAAACATTAATGTGAGAGAGACACATCGATTGGTTGCCTCCTGCATGTGCCTCAACCAGGGTTGGGGATTGAGCCTACAACCAAGGCATGTGCCCTTAACTGGAATGGAACCTACCCTCAGGCCGGGCTTTAACCACTGAACACCCCAGCTAGGGCTAAATGAGATTTTTGTGAGTGTGTTTTCTTAGAAGGTGTAAATTATATTGTACCATGGCACTTTTAAAAACTAAACTTGAATTTTTTTTTTCTTATAGAATTTCATATAATTGTATGTGGACTGGACTCTATCATAGCCAGAAGATGGATTAATGGCATGCTGGTAAAGACTTTAGTATTGCAGTTCTTTGAAGTTCTTGCTGTTGCTCTTAACACACTGAAAATTAGAATTGCATTTCATATTTTTTTAAAAATCAGATTTTAATTTCAGTTAAGTTCATGTACTTGTTTATTGCTATCATTAATTTTTAGATGAGGACCAATATTGCTAATATCCCTTGATTTGATATATTAATATTCAGTCATGCTATTGATTTGCCGAATTACTTGACAGCATGCTTTATAGTTTGAATTCTTACCTCCTTCTCCTTTTAAACCCTTCAAATAATTTTCCTAGATATCTCTTCTCAATTATGAAGATGGTGTATTAGATCCAAGCTCCATTGTCCCTTTGATAGATGGGGGGACAGAAGGTTTTAAAGGAAATGCCCGGGTAATTCTGCCTGGAATGACTGCTTGCATTGAATGCACACTGGAGCTGTATCCGCCACAGGTAACCCTAAAAAGCACCCGCATTTGTTTTACAGTATCCTGGGATGGAATTATGTTGAAATATTAAGTCTATTCAATATTTAGGATTTTTAATTAGGGGTAGCCATATTTTAAAAATCATGCTGTAAAGAAAAATGATAAAATATGAAATTTACTTTATTTGAGGGGAAAATATAGCTTTGCTACTATTGTTTTCATAATTTCTTTTTTATTTGGAAGAAGGGATTAAGGGATCAGTTTTAAAATTGTATGTTGGATAGAGCTACCATCTGTTTTCCTTGCCTGTGATTGTTTCTGGGAAATAGAGACACCAGGGATGAGAATGATCGTTCCAAAGATGAGGTTCTTCCATCTATGTATCTACTTTAGAGGACAGTTAGAATTTTGATCTATTTATGAGTATTCACTTGGAATTAATTTCATTCTGTGAATTTGCTTCTGTTTTATACATTCAGATTCAGATCAGGGGGTAAGGTGAATTATAACGAACTGTTATATATAAATCATAACCAGAAGTTAAATTTTAAAATAAGTCATTGTTTTAAATCCACTAAAAAGGGCTTGGTTTTTAGGTTAATTTTCCCATGTGCACCATTGCATCGATGCCCAGGCTGCCGGAACACTGTATTGAGTATGTCAGGCTGCTGCTGTGGCCAAAGGAGCATCCTTTCGGAGGTGAGGAACCTAATTTATAATCCAGAGTCACATGAAGTATTCGTCTATTTATTCATTTGGATAATTACATAAAAACCAAGTTGATTCATGTTTCTGTTTCTGTTTTTCTCTCCTCTGTTTTCCCCTAACAGAAGGGGTTCCGTTAGATGGAGATGATCCTGATCACATTCAGTGGATTTTCCAAAAATCCCTAGAGAGAGCATCACACTATAACATTAGGGGTGTTACTTATAGACTCACTCAAGGTAAGTTAGCAAGTTGCCATGAATAATGATTTGGGATGATGCTTTTTTTACTGGCTGGGGATACTTTGGAGGAAATAAATGATACGTTATTTGAGACACTACCACCCTTTTGAAGTTCAGTGAAGGTAGCATGGGAATAAAATTTTTAGATGCCCCACAGTTGGAAATGAGTTCAGCAGAATCCATACTGCTACTTAGCTAGAAGACTGATAAAATCATTGAATCTTATCTACCTAGTATTGGAAATCAACTCATTCACCTTATCATTCAATGAAGAGCAATTTATCATCTTCTGGGGCAGTCTGTTTCACTCTTGGACAAGACTGTTAGAAAACTATTCTATATATTGAGCAGAAATCTCCAGTTTGGTCTGAGTATTGTCCTAGGGTATAACGTGTATATATAAACCTAACTCCCTTAAGTAATAGCACTTAACACATTGAGAACCGTGGTCATATTCCCTCCAAATCTTTATCACTGCCACGAACCTCCCTGATTCCTTTAACCCTTTGACATGTGCCTGACTTAAGTACCCATCATGTTATTTTTCTATATCCATATTTCAGTTATCCATAATTTTCTTAACTAGGTTAGAATCTACATAGAATATATAAAATATTCTTATTTAAGGTAACAGCCTTCTGATAATTCTGACAATTGATGTAGCCTTAGAGGAGAGTAGGGTTTTTTGTTGTTTACATTGGTCCTATATTTTCAACTTTTTGAGGTAATTGCCCATGAAAATCTAGAAGTTCTTTCATATATGCAATTGCTAAGCCTCATCTGTAAGACTAAATTGGCAGAGAATTGATGTCTGAATCATACTTCTGATCTGGCCCTAGATTTTAGGTTTTATCTCATTCTATTGATCAGACCTTCTTGAGTGCTTCAAATTTCTTTGTCTTGTTCACAAGGATGCCATGAAAGACCTTTCCAGATGTTCTAAGCTAGTCAGAGTGACTAAATGAGACTAGTCAAAGAGGACTTGTTTCAGTGAACAATCATAGTGCTCAGTCTTAGGGATCAGTGCTTCCTGATCTAGGAACTCACAGTTCATCCTTTATAGAAATTTTCCAAAGTCATTGTCAAGTTTTTCTTAAATCGGCCATTTCTCTTCTGTGATTATTTTCTTATATATACTGATATCGTAGTAATGTCATTTGAAAATTCCATTCTTACTGCTTTTTGCTTCCTGAATTCCCCCTATTCTGACCTGCTTTGTGTTCCTTGACCACAGCAAGCTTATTTCTGTGTTAGAGCTCTAATATCCTCCTGATCCTTATGCTTGTACTGCTCTTCCTTTGACCCCCTCCAGCCTGGCTGCTTATCCCTCAGGTACCAACCAGTTCTCCTGATCATTCAACTGGAAATGACTTCTTAACCATTCAGTATTTTACTTTTTAAAAAAAAAATACATATTTTATTGATTTTTTTACAGAGAGGAAGAGAGAGGGATAGAGAGTTAGAAACATCGATGAGAGAGTATCATCGTCCAGCTGCCTCTTGCACACCCCCCACTGGGGATGTGCCTGCAACCAAGGTACATGCCCCTGACCAGAATCGAACCAGGGACCATTCAGTCCACAGGCCAACACTCTATCCACTGAGCCAAACCGGTTTCGGCAGTATTTTACCTTTTTATAATTGCTCAGAACGAATGCTAGTCTTATTTTTCTCTGCAAGGAATATTGCATATTCGCACACTCATATACATCCCTGCTCTGGGCCCTTTGCCCTTGCTGTTTACAGAAATGCTCTTTCCCTAGGTCATTATGTGGCCAGGTCTTTCTCAGAGTTTAGGTTTCAGCTCAAACTATCACCTCATGAAAAAGGTCTTCCCTGATCATCCCAACTGTAACATATACCTCGTTTCACTTTTCTTCACAGAACTCTTCAGTATCTGAACTTTCCTAATGTACTTACTTGAGTGTTAATCCCCCACATCAGCATGAAAGCTCTATGAGACCAGGTGTGTTTTGTTTTGTTTTGCGTAACACCTAGAAAGTGTCTGGCATATGGTACACATTTGGTAATGGTCTGAATTAATAAATGAATTCAGTTTGTCCTGATCAGGAACTGGAGACTCTTTTTCATATGTATTCTGATTCATCCCTCTGTACCTTTGAGCAGGGTGCATGCTTTGCAGCCTGGTGATTAAAGTTCTTCACAAGGAGTACAAAGTAAAACGAGAAGTGAAGTCCAGCTTTTTTGAGGGGTGGAGGGGATGGGGAGTTCTTATCATTTTGGCAGTTGGGGGTCATCAGGCCAGCAGGGTAAGGCAGTTAGGGATGACAAGGCAAGAAAACAGGTCAGCGATTAGGAGCTAGCAGTCCAGGATTGTGAGAGAGAGATCCTGGATTGGAGAGGGTGCAAGCTGGGCTAAGGGGAATTTCGTGAACTGTAAGATTTTTGGCTAATCTCTTCTTGGCCCCCTTCCCTCCTACTTTCTGAGATTTGTCTGTTCCATGTTTCCATGCTTCAGGTTCTATTTTATTCATCAGTTTATTTTATTCATTTTGGATCCTTGTTCATTTATTTTGATTTTTAGATGCTATTGTTGATAGGTATGTGTTTTATATGCTATTGTTGATAGGTATGTGTTTATTGCCTTTTCGTTGTTCATATTTTGGCTTTTTTTTTTTTTTTTTTTTTACTTCCTCTTAAAAAAAATCCTTCAACATTTCATGTAATGCTGGTTGGTGATGATGAAGTCATTTAGCTTTTTATTATCTGACCTTCAATTCTAAATGATAGCTTTCCTGGGTAGAGTAATCTTGGTTGTAGGTCCTTGCTATTCATTATTTTGAATACTTCTGGCCTGCAAAGTTTCTGTTGAGAAATCAGCTGATAGTCATATGAATGCCCCCCAGTAGGTAACTAACTGCTTTTCTCTTGCTACTTTTAATATTCTCTCTTTGTCTTTTGCTCTTGGTATTTTATTATTTATTTATTGTATTTGAATTATGATATGTCATGTCTTGGTGTAGGTCTCTTTGGGTTCCTCTTGTTGGGGTTCTCTGTGCTTCCTGGACTTGTAAGTAACTATTTCTTTTATCAGGTAGGAGAAGTTTTCTGTCATTGTTTCTTCAAATAGTTTTTCAATATCTTGCTCTCTTCTTCTGGCATCCCCATAATGCAAATGTACCCTTGAAGTTGTCTGAGAGGCTCCTTACACTATCTTCATCTTTTGGGATTCTTTTCTTTTTTCTCTTCTAATTGGGTTTTTTGCTTCCTCATATTCCAAATCATTGATTTGATTCTTAGCATGTTCAACTCTACTGTTGAGTTCCTGTAAATTATTCTTTATTTCAGTTAGTGTATCCTTTATTTTCTGACTGGACCTTTTTCATGTCTTTGAAATTCTCGATAACATCCTTAAAAATCTCACCAAGTCCATTGAAGCTCTCGTTAAGTCATTAAGGAATGTAACCATTGCTTTGAACTTTGTATCTAATAGTTTGCTTGCTTCCATTGTATTTAGGTCTTTTTCTGGAGATTTCTTCTGTTCTTTCATTTATGACATGTTTCTTTTTGTCTCTGCATTTTGGCTGCTTCCCTGTGTTTGTTTCTATGCATTGGTAGAGCTATGTCTCCTGGAATTGATAGAGTGGCCTTGTATAGTAGGTGTCCTGTAGGGCCAGTGATTCAGCCTCCCAGTCACCTGAGCTGGATGATTTAAGTGTGCCTCTGTGTGGGCTGTGTGCATACTCTTCATATAGTTGAACCTTGATTGCTGTTAGCATCACTGGGAGGAATTGACCTCCCTGCCAGTTGGCTGTGAGGACCAGTGTGAGAGCTGCTGTGCAGGAAACACCCTGTGGAGCAGGACTTGCTTAAGTAGGGTGTTTGTGCTCACTGGGCCTACTCCTTCAGTGTGTCACTTGTGAATGAATAGAGTTGTAATCTGGTATGGTCTGAAGCTGTCCACCAGGCGCAGTGGCTCTGGAGCCTCTCAGGAGGTGCAAAGTCAGCCATTGCCTGGGGCTGCCCGGCAAGTTTCGAGAAATCCATATTTCTCCTATTTTTATGGGCTTGGAAGTGCTCAGCTGAGGCCAAGCTGTGAAGCAAGGCAGGCTGCTGTTAGTGCTGCGTCTTGTGCCTCTTATTAATAGGTTTGGGCACACTGATGGCAGTTGCTGCTTGTTTGAGAGATTGTAGGAATGTCTGAAGCCTGAGCCAGGACAGGCCATTCATATGGAAAAGCCACTGCTAACAGCCTGGGTGGGCCTGCAAGTTGGTTGGGCTGGGATATCAGGAAATCACCAGGATAGTTTCAACATTGTGAGCCATGCTGATGGGAACTCAGATGCAGCTGCTAGTCAGCTCTATGACAAGGGCAGGGGAGAGAGGTCTCAACATAGGAATAATGAACCCTTTGAATACCCTTGCTTGGGAGAAAGCCACCCCTGAGTTCTTGCTCCAGTGCCAGATAATCCAGTTCCCGAATGTTCCCGAATCCCTCCTCAGTCGTTGCCCCAGGGCTCGAGCTCAGTGGAAGCAGGACTGTGTAAGTTTGAGTGGTGGCCCTTTAAGAGGAACTGCCTTGGTCTCCAGCATCCTCCCTGTCACTCAGCAACAATCCCAGCTGGTTTTTACAGTCCAAAGTTTTGGGGATTTATCTTCCCATCTCTGAAAACCCTGGGTTGGGTGGTCTGGTGTAAGCCTGGGAACCATGGCTTCTCATTTAATGCCTCCACAAGCGAGATATCCCAATTAAAAACACACCACACTGCCCAGCTGGTGTAGCTCAGTGGTTGAGCATCGACCTATGAAACGGGAGGTCATGGGCTCAATTCCTGGTCAGGGCACATGCCCAGGTTGTGGGCTTGATCCCCAGTTTGGGGTGTGCAGGAGGCAGCCAATCGATGATCCCCGCTCATCATTGATGTTTCTATCTTCCTCTCCCTTCCTTTCTGAAATCAATAAAAATATTTTAAAACAACAAAAAAACCACACCACACATTGGTGTCGGACCAGCTCGTTCTGTGCCTTTGCCCCTCCTACCAGTATTGAAATACTTTTATTTTTCTAGTTGTAGGACTTCCGTATAATCAGATTTCAGGTGATTCTGAATGATGATTGTTCTGCATTTTAGTTGTAATTTTGATGTGGTTATGGAAGGCGGCGAATATTGTGTTTACCTATGCTGTCATTCTGGTTGTTGCTGGGCAATATCTCTTCTACTGCTTACTGTTTGTGACTCCCCGCTCCTCCTTTCACTACGTCCTGCTACATGTGGCTCACTGGAGAATATCCAGCTTAACCGTCATCAGTTAGCTTCTCCATACTTCTGCTCTGGAATTATACATAATCATGTGGTCAGAATTAACTTTTTAAAATCAGCTTTCCAGACTTAACTGACTTCATGTCTTCTAAGAAATTTGCTCTTTTTTTGAAGTTTTTGAATTCTACCTACACCAGAAATCCCATCTTTCAGTGCTCCCTCATAATCTAATTAATATAGGTACTTGCCTTTGTAGTTTTTTTTTTTTTTCCTAAAGTGAACAATTCAAATGTAGTCATAAAATAGAATATTTTCTACTTAAAAAATTAGCCGAAACCGGTTTGGCTTAGTGGGTAGAGCCTCGGCCTGCAGACTGAAAGGTCCCAGGTTCGATTGGTTGCGGGCACATCCCCAGTAGGGGGTGTGCAAGAGCAGCTGGTCTATGATTCTTTCTCATTGATGTTTCTAATTATCCCTCTCTTCCTCTCTGTAAAAAATCAATAAAATATATTTTTTTTAAAAATTATTTGAGGTAGAGCTTTGTACATTGCTAATCTGAGTGCTATATAAAAAGTTGGGTAGAAAGAGAGGACTATGCAATAGAGGAGTGCAAGCTGCAGAGTGAAATGAAGATAAAGTAATTCTTGTTCTTTATAGTTTACCCAAACTTCGCTGAGTGTAGTGTTATATCGTGTATCAGTTAAGATTATGCAGTTTGGGGTGACCTGGATTTCATATACCACCCCATCCTTACTAGGAAGATAGCTGTAGATGTGATATAATTTCTCTCAACCTCATTTCCCTTGTCCTTAAAATCGGAGTAAGAAAATTAATATAAGGATGTTAGGAAAAGTCAGTAATATCTATTTCCTTTTCACAATGTTCTTGGAACATAATAAACACCTAATTGTTAGCTGTTATATCATGTTCTCATCTATGAAGCTTAGCGAAGAGTTAACTTTTCATTGCTACTGTACCTTCCTTAAGAATCTGAACATGCTACAAAAGGATGGGAATGTGCAAGAAGATTGCTTCATGGTTTTCATGGTTCAACTTAAGTCTGCTTTGTCACTTGAAAGCCTGACACATCAAGCTGTGGAAAATGTTGTTTAATAAATCATATTGCCTAACTCAAAATACCTACTTATTGAAAGAAATTATCATGTTTTATCCATATGTTTTTTCAGGGGTAGTAAAACGAATCATTCCTGCAGTAGCTTCCACAAATGCAGTCATTGCAGGTGAGGAGAAAAGGCCATCACTGTTTTCTTGCCTTTAGTTTTTGATTCGATATCTAAATTGACATTTCTGCAGCTTCTTGATCTCAGAAAATTGGTGTGATAGGAATGTGATATCTTTTAGGGTGGATGGTATAATTAAGCTGTCCAAAAAGAATTAGCTATTAGGCCTCGTATATAATTTGTTTTATATTATATCACAGAGTGGTCTGTAGCAAGCAGACATTTTCATACCATTTCTGTTTAATCATTAAAAAGCGCATTAATCTGAAAAGGAAGGAAATCATTATTCTGTTACTTGGACTGTCCAAAGCAAATATAAAGTGTTATTTTTTCAGTGTTTTAAAAATAAGAGCATATAAATTTTAATCTATTTTTAATCAATAGCCTTGTAAATTTATCTGTTCTGATTTACAACTTATTTTCTAAAAATTTAAAAAAATTTTTTAAATTTTAAATGTTTAATTTCCATTGAGTTAAAGTACCTTTATTTTCTCCCCTTTTCAGCTGTGTGTGCCACTGAAGTTTTTAAAATAGCCACAAGGTAATGAGTTTTATTTTTAATATGGATGTAAATTTCTGTTTTGATCTGGTTCAGTTATTTAAATGTGGACATCTTTTCATTACAGCGCATATATCCCCCTTAATAATTACTTGGTATTCAATGATGTAGATGGACTGTACACATACACATTTGAAGCAGAGAGAAAGGTTAGTATTATTATACTAATGAGAACTTTTTTTGATCATGCATACTTTGATTTTTAAATATATTAATAAATAAAATTGCCCATACCCTTTCAGAACCTTAGTTACTATATATCTTTTGTAGTGGAGCCTGAAAGAAATACTATGTAGCAAAGTAATTTAGGAAAAATGCCTATTCTGAAAAGCATAGATTTTTCAAGCATAAACATTTGCTCATAGGAAATATGCATGATTATAAAACAGCTTCATTTTTATTTCATTACTATAAAGAGACGATTATTGGTGCATGTGCCGCTGTGATTTATTGTGTTTCATATATGTAGGAAAATTGTCCAGCTTGTAGCCAGCTTCCACAAAATATTCAGTTTTCTCCATCAGCAAAACTACAGGAGGTTTTGGATTATCTAATCAATAGTGCTTCTCTGTAAGTGTTCTGGACTTCTATTATGTTGTAGAAATAATTTTTGAGATTTTAAAACTTTAGAACTAGGATTGTTTGTTAAAAAGTGATCTTTGATTTTTCCCTCATACTTGTATTTAGACAGATGAAATCTCCAGCCATCACAGCAACATTAGAGGGGAAAAATAGAACCCTTTATTTACAGGTGAGAAGTGTGCAGTTTTCATTTCTTTCACAATTATATTAAAAGTCTAATTTCATTTAATGTGTTTACATTAAAATAATTTTGTTTTCTAGTCAGTAACCTCTATTGAAGAACGAACAAGGCCAAATCTCTCCAAAACATTGAAAGGTATTTTAAATGAGTATATTTAATAATCAGCTTCTTTTTTTGGTAAAAGTGACAATTCCTTTTAGATTAGCTGTTAATACCTTCTTAAATATTTATATCTTTAGAAATAATAGATTTAATTGTTCTGTTAGGAGAATACACGAAAATTTCTAAAGAAATTAAATATATTGCTTCCTTTAATCAATATATTTTTACTGATGTTTATCTCAACCATAACATTCTATAGTTTGTGTATCTGAGTATCATTATCATTTTTGTTGAGTTTTTTCCCCCCATTGGGTTAATTATACTTTTTCCGTTTTAGAATTGGGACTTGTTGATGGACAAGAATTGGCAGTTGCTGATGTTACCACACCACAGACAGTACTATTCAAGCTTCATTTTACTTCTTAAGGAAAATAAATCTGCACATAATATTAAATGTATGGAAATACTATACTTTGTGGATGCTAAGAAAATTATTTTTAGCATTAGTATTGCTGAAATTTGACATTTTTTCTTTTTAAATGTAATGAGCCACTCTTTTTTTAATAACTTTCCCTTGAAGACAGAGTTTGGGGTTGGTGCTTGTAAGCATTTTCATTAATAATATGGGAAGTGATGCTTAGAGATTATGAGCAAAAAATGTATAGGTTCTTCTAGAGGAGACAAACACCCTCTTGTGTGTGGATTTTGTTATTATGGTCAGAGTGCATTCCTCAGTTTTCATTCGGGCACCCACATGTACAAAAGATGTCCCTTTAAAGAAAATAAGAAAATTAAGATCCAGATAACATTAAATGTTACAACTTGACATCTGGTGCATATTGAACATAGTCTGTATCTTGCTTGTTTTAATATTCATTTAATCGTGGCTGTTCAAATGAATATTAACTTTTGCAAAGGTTACCTTGCCCATGATAATTTGTAAATGGTGTTAGAGCTGAATACCTGTGCATGGAAATGAGAAATATTTTCATGTGTTTATTTGAGGTGCCATAGAAGCCAGTATATGCAACATTAAAGTCAAGACATGGTTGTTTAAAAGAAAAGTTATCATTGATGCTTTCACACTATTTATTAATAAAATCATATGTTGTCTACTTTTCTCACTGAATCTTTTAAAAATATATTAAGGATCATAAGTAGTTCTGTAGTATTGTAGGAATAAATTTTAGATGTATAGCAGAATTACTAACACAAAATTTTTATAGCACCTGCATTAATATTTTGACACAGTAAATATCTAATGTTTTAATTTAATTTGCTCTCACATAAATATTGTAATGAAGTAGAATAACTATATTTTTATATTAATGTTTCTTAAAATCCTCCCCCCCAAAAAAAACAAAAACAAAAACAAGAACAACAACACTGAGGCTTAAAACAAAGTCAAGCATAAGTTCTGAAAAATGAGTTTTAGTATCTCAGTGTGAAAACATGTATATGTTCTCACTGTGTCTTTGACTTAGATGGCAATTTTGTCTTCACAAGCTTTGTGACTATTACTAGGCTACGTAGTATTCATTTTTTTTTTTTTTTTTTTTTTTAGTTCCACATTGACAATTTGTTTCATTATAAAATCATACAGGATAGATTTTCTACTTAAAGTTACAGGGTTAGTATAAATTTTTGGAAGTGAAGGAACTAACATTTGGCACTTCTTTTACACAGGTGCAATAATAATTCTCAAGGTGGACGTGTAAGGGCTCACTGGGAGCTGCCCCTGCCTTTTCCTTTCCCTTTCCCACCTCCTCCCTGCCCCAGGCACCATGCCAGTAGCTTTGTCACTCCCAAGCTCCACGGGCCCTTCCTTTCCCTCCGTAACTAGCAAATAAATGTAAGAAGGTGACAATATCTCCATCTAAGAGCTGAATAGTTTTAGAGAGTTTAGATCATTTATCCAAAAATGTACAATTAGAGGTATTGGAAGGGATTTCCAAAGAAAAATAGTTCCTTGTAAAATGCTGAAATATAGGGAGGGGGATGGTAAGGTAAAGAACCACAGCAAGGGAGGGTGTAATAGAATACAGTAAGACTAGTTAGGGTCTGTGGCAAACTGGAGTGAAAAGTATTTTTCTATAACCCTATATAATAAAAGGCTAATAGTCAAATTGACCAAATGGCAAAATGACTGGTTGCTATGACACACACTGACCACTAGGGAGCAGACACTCAATGCAGGAGCTGCCCCCTGGTGGGCAGTGCACTCCCACAGGGGGAGCACCAGCTGGGCTCATGGCTGGCCTGCCCAGTGGCAGTGATGGGAACCTCTCCTGCTTCCATGGCAGTGCTAAGGATGTCCAACAGATGGCTTAGGCCTGCTTCCCCAAGGGCTCCGGGACTGCAGGAGGGGGCAGGCTGGGCTGGGGGACCTCCTCCCTCCCCACCGCCACCAGTGCACGAATTTCGTGCACCGGGCCTCTGGTACATTCTATAATACATCATTTGTATATTGTATTGGGTATACATCAACCCAAGTCAAGTTTCCTTACATAAACACATCCCGCCCCCTCCCTCCCCTTCACCCTCTCTCACCTCTCCCTACCCTGGAGTGAAAAGCCCCTTGTTAAAAGGGGCAACCACTTTATCTGAGTTTTCCATGTTAGAATCCTTATTTTTCAAAATCAACTGGAAATTTAGATTTTTTGTATGAAATCTGGCTTTTAAATGTTGGTAGAATTTTATCTTTAACACCACACTATAGGGGCCAAACTAAATAGCCTCTGATTAGATTAGGAAGGGCACCAGTTAGATTTCTTCATATAGCTACGGGCAGATGTTTGAGGAGTGCATGCAGAAAAAGTGGCGTTTTAAGTAATGTGCACAGTACACATTAATAGAGGAATAAGCTTAGTGCTTCTCAGGTTTGTTTTGACAGGACAGTATTGTTAGGGAGAGATGGTGCCTGTTATACCCGTGTTCCAGCCTGTAACTCATTGTGGAAGATGGCTTTTTCTCTCAGGTGGGCTGGGTCAGGTTTTTTTTTTTTTTTAATACAAAGTCCAGTATTTCTAGGTATACCCCCCAAACCAAGGTACATGCCCTTGACTGGAATTGAACCTAGGACCTTTCAGTCCACAGACCGACTTTCTATCCACTGAGCCAAACCCAGGTTTCTTCTTACGACCAAGTTACACAGAAAGAAGTAAATATTTGAGACAAAGCGCTAAGCAGAAGTGCGCTTCCCAGCTTCACTTGTTTGCACTCATTGTTGGCAGAGCGCTAGTTCTCAGAATAGCGAGCGATTTTCTAAGAAGGAACTCAACAGGAAAACATGCGAGTTCCTGCTCTACCCAGGAATCACTGTCAATGGAAACGTTCCGCGTTCCTCGGTAACTAATGGCAACCCTGCGCGCCGGATGTGACGTCAGCGCTTGCTTCCGCCCACCGGCGGAACTCCGGTTGTTGTGGACGTGGAAGTGCCGGCGCACGCGCAGTGCGCCGGGCGCCGGGGTGGGCTGGGCTGGGCTGAGGGGCTGCGGCTGGGTCTGTCCGTCTGTCATGGGCGCCCGCTGACGCCCGCCGAGCAGGAGGGCGAGGCCGCTCCGCACGCTCCCGGCCGCGCCGTGGCGGCCGGCCGGCGGGAGGATGAGCTGGTTCAACGCGTCGCAGCTCTCCAGCTTCGCCAAGCAGGCCCTGTCCCAGGCGCAGAAGTCCATCGACCGGGTCCTGGACATCCAGGAGGAGGAGCCGGGCGCCTGGGCCGACACCATCCCCTACGGGGACCCGGGTACGGGAGCCGGGCGCGGGGTCCGGGGTCCGGGTGCGGGGGTCCGGGTACGGGAGCCCGGGTACGGGAGCCGGGCGCCTGGGTCGACACCATCCCCTACGGGGATCCGGGTCCTGGGTCCGGGTGCGGGGTCCAGGTATGGGATCCCGGTATGAGGTCCGGGTGCAGGGTCCGGGTGCGGGGTCCGGGTACGGGAGCCGGGCGCGAGGTCCGGGGTCCGGGGTTCGGGTACGGGAGCCGGGCGCGGGGTCCGGGGTCCGGGTGCGGCGGGCCGGCTCGGTCCGCTCTCTCCCTTCCGGCGGGAGCGCCGCCCGGTCCCCGCCGCCGCGGCCTGGGGGGCGGGCCGGCCCCGCGCTCAGAGCTCGGCCTCCGGGAAGCGGCGCCCAGGCCGCGGCGGGGCCTCCGGGAGGGTCGCGCGGTCCGTGCTGCCCGGGAAGCCGGCGCAGAGAGGCCGCGGCGGCGGCTGGGGCTGGTCCGGGTCCCGGGAGCCGCCCGCACTCGGCGGGCCTCCGGTTGCTCTGGGCTCTTCGTCCCCAAACCTGTAGCCTTTGTTGTGGGGTAAAGGTGCAGATTTGGGGGTGTGGCCTCCGTGAGAAGGAGTAAGTTGTTCTTAGCGACTCCGTCCAGGGTTTTGTTCCTAATTTTACATCGTTGAAAGGTCAGGACCTGAATTGGAGGTACCACGTTTTGAGGTTTTTTTGGCCCATGTCTGCTGTCATGATCCTGTTACTTTTTTACAGGATGTTAGACCTTGTTGGAGTAGCTCAACTACCCTTTTCATAGGTCCCCACGTTTTTAATTCCTGACTTTAAAGGAGATGATAAGTTTTAAATATTAGAATACTCGTTTTATGAAACCTGGGGCTTGAGTTGTGCTTATAATTCATTTTAATTTTTTATTGTTTTAAAAATATTTTTGTTTTGAGTTTTAGAGAGAAAGGAAGGGAGAGAGAGAGAAAAAAAAAATCCATGTGAGAGAAAAACAATTAATTGGTTGCCTCCTGCACACATCCAGACCAGGGATCGAACCTGTAACCTGGGTACGTGCCTTGACCAGGATCGGAACTGGCAACGTTTTGGTGCATGGGATGCAGCCCAACCAAACGAGCTACACCAGCCAGAGCTATGTAATCATTAAAAAAAAAAAAAAAAAAATGTTATCCAGAATAGTCTCAGATTTTAGTGAAATGCCATTAATGTTTATTAATCACCTATTTTTATTTTACATTGCCATGATTACAACATGACCACTCTTCAGAAAGTAGTATTTAAAAATATATTTTTATTCATTTCAGAGAGCAGAGAGAGAGAGAGAGAGATTAATGAGGAGATAGAATCATTGATCTGCTGCCTCCCGCAGGCTCCACACTGGGTATTGAGCTGCAGCCTGGGCATGTGCCCTGGCTGGAATCGAACAGTGAGCCGTGCTGGCTGGGCCAGAAAGGAGCATTTTAAGTGGATATCAGATAACCTGGGCTTTATAGAAAACATTTTCCAAGAGGCAAATTTGACTTCTGTAATTCATTAAGATGACTTAATAAACTAAATTAATTAGACTTATTCTTGCTTGTTCATTTGCATCTTAAATTTTGGATTTCACCTTTTTACATTGTTGTCATATGCTGAACAAGTGGATATAAACTATGTCCTTAAACTGAAGTTTTCTATTATGAAGTCATATTAAAGGATAGACTTTAATATAGGGCTTGGCAGTTTGTAGGAGTTTTTAGGTATTTGTGTTCTGGCCACCAACTTCTATAATTGTGTATAATTTGTGATAATTCTCAGCTACTTTTGAATATAGAAAAGGCATAATTAAAAAAATTCTTTAAACATTTTAGGGAATATGCCATACATGTCTATGACTAATATAATTACCTCTTTTTCCCCCCAGTGATATTTTCTCCTGTTTTTTAAAAATTCTAGTAAGTTACCATCTATATCAAAGAGCAGTAATTTTAATAAAAATGCACATTTATGAAATTCATATGACCTAATTGCTGACATAATTTAGAAATTAGAACAAAACTTTCTCATGTAGTGGATTTGGAAAGTCGGACTTGGAGAATGAGCTTGTTATTAAGTGAATGAAAATGAATTTCAAGTTGCTGTCCCCATCATTTACTTTGATCTTTTGAAAAAAGGACATCTGCCACTAGTATTTTGGTTTAGTTTTTTAGTGTTGCTATCTTGTCTAGCTCATAACTATGTTTTATTCTTGATATTACAAGAATAAAATTAATATGAAGCTAACTTAATAGAAGGTAAAATCAATTTGCCATGACTGCATGTACCTAAAAGTGAAGATACTGCCAGTTATCATGAAATACAGCATCTGTGTCTTGGGCTTAGCATCTTTCAGAACATACCA